CCTTGCGCCTTGAACACCGTTTATGCCTCGTAAGAGAGTTTTTTTTTGTTTTTTACTTTGTAACTTTTGCCATCCTCTGTTTAGAGCGAGTTTGTTTTGTACTTTGTTCACAGCTTTGTCGTCCTCGTTTTCTAGAGTGATTATTATTTTGGTATTTTGTCTTTTCCTTGTCATCCACTCTTTGCGAGGGCGCTTTAAGTTCCATTAAAACAATTTTTTGCCAAAGATCTCTGCACCTGAGTTGCATTTCTGACATATCTAACCATGTAGCTTTTCAAAAGCTTAACCACATCATTTAAACTAATACACAGTCTGCATTTTCCAAATAGTTTTCCCTTCCAAGGTTTAGCTGGCTGCTCTTTTCATCTCTCAGCTGAGGACAGACTTTTCATCCCCCAGAGCAGGGGGTCAAACTCTGGTTGTAATTATGTTTGGCCCGCGAGACAATGCCAAATAACTCCGGCATTATACTGTAGAGACCATTATCAGCCCATACTACAACTCCCATAATGCCCTGCTGCTGTTCAGGACCCAGAAACTCCTCTGTGACAGTAGCTAAACACTACAGCTGTCACTGTGCTAATGACCAAAAATGACCAAAAGAAAGATGGAAAAACAGGAACTTTCTGGACAAGCTAATTTAATTTAGCTATTTCATTCAGAAGGCTGCAAATAGAAAAATGTTTTAAAGTCTTATTTAATAAATGAATGCCATTTTTTTTTATTTGGAATTTGATTTAGCATGTCTCCACTATTAAGTTTTATATAATGTAATAAGAGCTGCTTGTTCCATATACAATGTTAAAGCTAAATTCGTTTTGTTCCATATTAATAAAAGGTTCATTTGTTTAATCTTGGCCCACGGCTTTGTTCAGGTTTTAAATTTTGGCCCTCTGTGTTTTTAAGTTTGACACCCCTGGTCTAGAGTGATGCAACATCTGTTTTTGAGCCTGAAATGTGACCAAACTTTCTGCTCTCTGCTGTCCAGCGGGACAAAAAACACCCAAAAAAAAGACGACGCCTGGAGCCAAAAGAGAAATAAATGAGGTTCTAAACCTCAGAACGCGTTCCTTCTGTGGGAACGCCGTCTTTAAGCCGTCAGGTTTTCGTTACAGACAGAAGTTTTATTAATAATCCGTGTAAAAATATATTTTTTAAAAACATTACACTAAAATAGTGATTAGTTTTTGTGACCTGACCCGCTCTCCAGCTGTCTCACAGCTCTTGAGGAAAAATACCTGAGGAATAGGCCCCACATTACAGGGGACCAGGGGTCCCACAGGGGGTCCTAACCCTAACCCTAACCCTAACCATAACCCTAACCCAGGGGGCCACGGCCCGGAGACAAAGGCCAAAACGTGCACTAAACAGACAGTAAACCCACACCAGGGAAGTCACAAAGTCGCATACCGGAGGGCCATGGAGTCATTAAGACCCAGACTTCTGTCAGGACGGATATATTTAGGATGCCAACTGTTTGATGGCATCCTGGAGATTTTT